TAAAAAAACTATTTTACCAAAAATCAAAACACAAACACCTTCTGTAACAATTAAATTCAGTGAAATAAATCGACCTTTGTCGTTTATTCTCGACACCGGTACAGAGGCTTTACTTATTAAATAGTCCGTTGATCAATCTAACATCATAATTTTTCAAGATACCATTCTTCACCTGAAAGGCATAACAAACGGAGAATTTAAAATCCAAGGGTACATCATTCTAAGCTTTCATACATGTTTCTACGAATTTCACATCATGACGGATGATTTCCCTACACAAATACGAGGTGTGTTCAAAAAGTAACGAGAATTTTTTAATTTCGCGGGTTCGGACTGCCCGCCTGTATAAAATTTTTTTTTATTATGTTGGTACACATGCCCCTGAAGTACGATAAAATTTTCAGCAATATTCATTGCTTATTTTTTAAGTGGCAGCCGCTAACGTTAGACGTGTTTTTCGAGCTCGGCGATTTTCGTTTGCGAAAAAAAATGGATCAAAGAATTTGTATTCAATTTTGCGTAAAAAATGAAATAAAGAGTAGTGAAGTTTTTAAAATGTTAACAAAGGCATACCTATTAGATATACTATTAGATACAAATTAGTTACTATGAAATCTATTAAGAATACGAAATTACGTAACACCTATTGAAACCAGAATAAATAACTCAAAACTTTCTCCAAAACAGCGTGGAAATTCCATCACATACACAAATATCCCATACAACTTCTCACGAGTTAAAGAAACAGAGCACTCTTACTTAGAACCTCTGAAAACTGTAGAATCCAAACTCAGTAGTAATCAAGAAACAAAAAATTCCAAATGATCAAAACTCTCTGTAATCCAAAATCATGAAGCAAATAATATTATTATAAACGCTAGAATCCAAAATCATGAAACAAAAAAATTTATTACAAACTCCGAGTTTTGAAGTTAAGAAACAAAAACTTTCGTAACAAACCCTGAAATCCAAAAAATTAGAACACAGACAACCATGATACAAAAATCACAAACTTCGAACTCAGCAAAAGTCAAGTGACTGGATTAAAAAATCAAAAAAATATGAACCTTCGAAAAAAATATTACGAAACCGCCGATGATTGCAAAAACACGCAAAGTGAAAATCATAACTACAATCTATCTGAAATGCTACTGAAAACTCTGTACACGCAAGATTATAATACAAATGAAAGCGACACAGAAAACAAACTCCTTGAAAGCCTCAAAAGCCTAAAAAAATCACTCATATACGAAAATAATGCCATTGACTACATTCAATATTCTAATCAATAATTTTAAAAATATTTGAACACTATTTACCAGAAAGGATTTCAAATCTTGCGCAAACAGATAAAAAGATATTCAAAAAAACAAAATCCTCAGACAATTATACAAGCCAAAAAATGCGCTAATAACTGAATGAAGAACCTTAAATGACAAATAAAATGAAAATACACTACAAACATCAAAAATAAAAAAATCTTAAACATACTAATATTCCACTATTACTCTATAATAATATTTCACTATTCCACTATTACTCTTATATACTATTACTCCAGCGCTTCTGGCGCACGTGTGATCGTCACAGCCGTGCCTGCCGCTGCTGCCGCGGCCATCTTTGTTTGATTACAGGTGGCCAGCCTGCCTGAGAGCGTCGTCGTTTGGCGACGTGTCACATCAGCGTTGTTGCTGCTGCGCCGTTGTGCGCGCACGTCATTTAGAAGAGCTGCCACTGCTGCTTGCTCCTGCTCCTTTGCAGGCTACGGATCAGCTACGTGGGACGACGCTACGCACCACTACTTGCTGCCGACGTCGATCACTACTGCTTGCTGTTGACACGGGCCGTACGCATGCTGATCGCTGCCGCCGCGAGCTTTCCGAGCTCCGTGCTTCTACTCAACGAGCTTCACTAAACAGCTGATCGTCAATCAGGTTCATTTACATAATTGCGTTTGTGTTAGCGTTCTTAAAATTTTATCAACTATTAAGTACTATTAAATTCTTCACTATTGTTAATCGAATTAAATTCAACCGGCTCTAACACTTACGGTCTGATTATTATTCGCGAGTTACATGCTAAGATTGTTTTAGTGGTACTGTATTGTCGGTATTAATTGTAACGAGAAGCGCTGTCACGTGGAGCACTAATTTGCGTTTGTTCGCGTCACCCGTGTTTGTTCGTGCTTCCTGATTCAATCTCGGAAACGTTGTTTTTACTCAATTTTCTTTAAAATGGCTGATTTAGAAACCTTTTACGCACAGCAGCTAGCGCTCTACACCAAAATAAAAAATGCCTTCGCTAATTTCTGAAAGTTAGGAGAAGCAAAAATGACTCGGGGTCAATGCAAGACTCGGAGTAAGGTGGTTAAGGATTCGTACGATCAAATGTTAATGATTCATGATCAAATTTTAAATCTTGATGGGGACCACAGTGGACATGAATGCATTAAGAAAAACTTGATTGATTTATTTGAAGAGACCTATTGCTCAGTCGCAGGTGACTTCGAGGATTATGCGTCTAAGTTCGACCCTCCAACCTCGCCGATCGCGAACCCCGGCTCAGCTTCCACCTTAGCTCTACATAGTCTGTCTTCGTTACCCTCTGTTAACATTCCTACGTTTTCAGGCAGTTTTGAGGCATGGGAAAGCTTTCGCGACGTTTTTAAGGCTTTAGTTCACGAAAAAACCGAGCTCCCTACAATTATTAAGTACCAGCACCTGCGAACCCATGTGACCGGAGAAGCAGCCGACCTGATAAAAAATATTCCCCTCTCGGGTGAAAACTACGCACAGGCCTGGGACGCTCTTGTCAGGTATTATCACAATAAGCGGCGCTTGGTTACTACATACAAGGGTACGATTCTTAGTTGCTCAAATATGAGATCCAACTCCTGTGCGGAAATGAAGCGCTTAGCTAAGGAAATGTTAGGCCCCCTAGATTCTCTCGTCACTTTGGGTAGAGAAAATAGAAGTGAAGACGTTCTCATCGCTCTCATCGTTAGTAGGTTTGATAATTTTGCCAATAGAGATTGGCAGAAGCATCTAGGTAGTAGTGACGAACCTCCGACTCTTGATCGTTTGCGTGAGTTCATCGCTGCACAAATCATTACATTAGAGACGTTAGAGTTGACTAAACGGAAGCCTAACCCAGGCCAACAACCTGACTCTTTGAAATCCAAACAGAAATCATCATTTGTACATCAAAGCACTGCATCTCAGCATCAAGGGTCTCAGTCCGACCAAAGCCTTTGCGCTACCGTTAGCTTGTGCCTTAGCCCTAGTTTCTCCTCGGGACCCAAAGTTCTGTTAGCTACCGCTCAAATTTATGTTCGTGGTCCCTATGGTCAGAAAGTTTTAGTAAGAGCCTTGGTTGATCAGGGCTCTCAAAGTTCCTTAATAACTCGCTGGCTTTGCGATACGTTGAGTCTCAAAACTCACCCAGCTAGTATTTCGTTGACTGGTGTAGGTGATTCTTCTACGACCTCTGTTCGGAAGAGAACCTACATAACTTTCCAACCTCACTTCGAATCGAGTTTTAAGTGTGATACTGAGGTCCTAGTAGTTCCGAAAATTTCTTCTTATAAGCCTCCAATTTCAAGGAGCTTACTAACACTACCTCACATTCAAAGACTCCAACTTGCAGATCCTGACCTATACGCTCTAGATAAAATAGACGTTCTGCTCGGAGCCTCGGTCCATGCTCATATTATTCAAAACTCGATTCGACGGGGCCCTGCAAATCAACCTATAGCCTCCGCATCCAGCATCGGATGGCTACTGTCCGGACCTGTGCCCCATCCACCGGAAAATGTCCCTTCTGCGAAGCGGAAAAATAACATGATCACTGCCCGACCCGAAGAGGTTACCGTAATGCACATCTCTAAAGACTATGATCTAATTGAAATAGTGCAACGATTTTGGTTAGTCGAAGAACCCCTCTTCATACCAGAGCTCAAGGGAGAGGATCTTCATTGCGAGGAACATTTTGTTCACACGCACTCGCGATCCTCGGACGGTCGATTTGTGGTCAGACTTCCGTTTAAAGGTCAAGTCGCCGACGCTCTTTCCCTTCGGGAAAGCTCTTATAACACGGCGCTCTCCATGTTTCGCCAACAAGAAAAAAGGTTTAGGAATAACCCTCACCTGTTCGAGTCATACAAGACCTTTACGGCTGAGTACCTGGCTCTTGGTCAAGTATCGAATTCGAGCCTAGCGAAGTGTTTTCTTCCTCATCATGGAGTTTTGAAGACCAATACGCCAACTCCTAAGCTGCGACTTGTCTTTAATGGCTCTGCTAGGAACAGAGGTGGTCTGTCTTTGAACTCCTTACTCCACACAGGTCCAAATCTCCTGTTAACTCTTTTCGAGCTGATTCTCAGGTGGCGGTTTTATAAGTTTGTCTTTACCACCGACGTAGAAAAGATGTTCCGGCAGATTCCAGTTCATCCAGACGATCAAACTTTTCAAGCGATCCTTTGGAGACCTGACGTCTCTTCTCCGATCAAAACCTACTTCCTTACTACCGTCACTTATGGTCTCGCGTGTTCCCCGTTCCTGGCGACTCGTGTCTTACGCCAACTTGCCTCTGAGCATGCTGAATCGCATCCTAGAGCTTCCAGGATTCTTCGCGAGGAATTTTATGTAGATGACTGTTTGTCAGGCGGTCATTCGGTGGAGGAGGCCTCAATAAAATGTGAGGAACTCACGGAACTGGCACGGTTAGGTGGATTTCCTCTTCGCAAATGGTCCTCTAACTCGCCGCAGGCTTTGGCTAGCGTCCCTCTTGACCATCGAGTCGACCAGCCAAAGACTTTGCAAGAAAATCCAGAAGCCATTTCAGTCCTTGGATTGTCTTGGGACCCCCAGACTGATGAATTTGCTTTCTAATTCACGGTTGATGAGTTTCCTAATCTCTGGACCAAGAGAACCTTGTTCACCCAGACTGCCCGGTTCTTCGATCCTTTGGGCTGATTCTCATTGGTGATAATAATTCCAAAGATGTTGCTACAATCACTGTGGTTGCTTAAAATTTCGTGGGACACGCCCCTTCCAGACTCAGTTGTTGAACCTTGGGTCAGGTGGTTGAGTGAGATTCCTCAACTTAATCAAGTGAGGATTCCCCGTTGAAACTTTTATTCCCCTAGTATCCGGTTAGAGATCCATGGATTCGCTGATGCGTCTAAGTCAGCCTACGCCGCTGTCGTCTACACCCGCATGGTTGTAGAAAATGTTGTTCACGTGTCGCTTCAAATAGCCAAGACCCGAGTTGCCCCCCTTAAGGTGCTGAGCATTCCTCGGCTAGAGTTGTGCGGTGCACATCTACTGGCTAAAGTCGTAAGACACTTTACTGATAGCTGTCCTTATGATGTAGTTCCCATCCATCTGTGGACGGATTCTCTTAATGTCCTCCACTGGCTTAACGCTCCGCCGTCAAAGTGGCCGGTCTTCGTAGCCAACAGATGTTCAGACATCCACCACTTGATGCTGAGCGTTAAATGGCATCACATCTCCTCAAAACAGAACCCAGCTGATCTGTCTTCTAGAGGCATTCTCCCTAGTCAGCTAATTGCCAAGCAGTTGTGGTTTCATGGCCCAGACGTGTTGCATGAGACTGATTCCCAGTACCCTGACCTGAAACTTGAAGTCATCGAGCCGCCTCCCTCATTCAACCTCGTAGCAAGTTGTTCGGAAAAGGAGCCTGACTCCTTCGTTACCTCGCTCCTTAGCCGTTGCTCTCATTGGTTCAGGTTAACACGGGTCACGGCTTACGTCCTGCGTTTCGCTTATCGATGTCTTGGTAGACTGAGGCAGTCATCCTTAACTACATCTATACAGTCCACTGACCTGAGTTTCATCAAACGTGAAGCTTTTGCTCGATGCATTTATTCAAGCTTGACTACCATTGAGTTAGAATCGGCGTCTCTGCTTTTGATCTTTGATCATCAACAGCGTCATTTTGCTCATAACATTGCCGTCTTGAGACGCAACGCTAATCTGCCCATTAGTCAACAGGAGCATCTTCCTGCCTCGAGCCGTTTGCGTAAGCTCGCTCCTTTTCTCTCTGATGGATTGTTACGAGTTGGAGGTAGGCTAAGTAACGCTTTGCTCGACTCTAACGCGAAACACCCACTAATCTTGTTTGGTAGAGATTCTCTCACCCTGTTACTTGTTAAACGCTATCATCTTCTTACTCTTCACGGTGGTAACCAAATAACTTTGACCGCTCTTCGTCGAAAGTACTGGGTACTAAATGGTCGTCAGATTGTAAGTTCTGTGCTGTCTCACTGCTTGACCTGTCGCCGGTATGCTGCACAGCCACAAACGCAGTTGATGGCAGATCTGCCAGCTGCAAGAGTAACTCCCTCACCAGCATTTTTAAGAACTGGTGTGGATTACGCCGGTCCTTTTCCTGTTCGTTTAGCAAAGCACCGCGGGAAAGGCACCTTTAAGGGCTACGTTGCGGTCTTTATTTGTATGGTCACGAGAGCTGTACATCTGGAGGTCGTCGAGGACTACACTGCCGACTCTTTCATAGCGGCCTTCCTACGTTTCACGTCTCGTCGTGGCCAGTGCTCCAATCTCTGTAGTGATCGAGGCACTAACTTTGTGGGGGCTGATCGGGAGATGAGCAAAATGTTGATGGATCGTCATAAAAACGTCTCCTTTGCCGATGCTCTCTGCACCCTTGGAACGCAATGGCACTTCAACCCCCCTTTAGCCCCCCATTTTGGTGGTTTATGGGAGGCTGCAGTCAAATCGACGAAATTCCACCTTAAGAGAGTCATCGGAAACCAACCTTACCTTCGTCGAATTTTCCACGTTGTTATGTAGGATCGAGTCATGCCTTAACTCGAGGCCCTTGGCACCCTTGACAGACAATCCCTCCGATTTAAGTCCACTAACTCCTTCTCACTTTTTAATGTTCAAAACTTCTTACTCGACACCAGAGCCTGACTTAACTTCCAAGAAAATCTCGCCTTTACAACGGTGGAAGCTACTGTCCCGAGTCTTACAATGTTTTTGGCGCAGGTGGTCAGCAGAGTATCTTAGCTCTCTCCAAACTCGTGAAAAATGGGTCTCTCCCCAACGGTCGTTACAGGTAGGGGACCTAGTATTAATTAAAAACGAGAACACTCCTCCTGGCAAGTGGCCTCTCGGGAGAGTCGAAGATGCTTTTGAAGACCCAAAGGCGCTGGTGCGAGTCGTAAAGGTTAAAACTCAAAGTACTATCTTAACCAGACCAATTCATAAGTTAATTTTGCTACGTACCGTTTCCGAGATCAAATCAACGGGCACACGTTAAGTAATTAAGTAATTATTTGAGAGATGGTATAACTATTTTCGCGGTCCAACCTCACCGCCTCTCTTATTGTATAGCTTATAAATATAATAACACTTAGAATTAATTCAAAAAATCGCACATTTTTCGCTTTATAATTTATAATTTTCCCTTTTGCTTCGTTTCTGGTAACACTCATTGTACCAATTTAAAGAAATTAAGAAAAAATATCTTTATACAAAATTGTACCAATAATTTGATTTATTGTAAGTGGAAAGCGCTCCACAGTTATCTTTTCTATTGTTTGCCATTGCTTTGATTGATATTGTCTCTGAGCTAGTTTTTATACCTGTTGAAGGACCTAATTTTCATATTTTTCTTGATGTTCATTCAATCTACTTTCTGTACATCAACTCGGGGAGTATGTATGACATCAAATGCTTGATGTCATTTGTGTGCGTGAATGTGTGTCAAAAGTGTTTTCAGCCGAGTGCTCCACGCATGTGCTCTGAGTGAAAAGCGCATGCGCCGCGCTAGAAAGATACGGTATGACTGATATCCGTGCTCTCCCCAGCTTAACATCGCTCCGCCAAGTCAGTCTGCAACTGCTCTGCATCACAAAAGGGAGTAAGAGCCAGTCACGCTGTACTGCGTCTCTTCTCCCTCCTATGTAAGAAAGTCAATGTACGCGAGTGTTAAGTTCCGAACGAAAATTAAAGCTGATTCAATAAAAGGAAGTCACCTTTTTATTTACCCGCGTACACTACAATTCCCAAAAGTTCTCGTCAACTCCTTCGTCCACGCGATCCGACGCAACAACAGTGCAGGAGCACTGCCTCCCGCGCACCATCCTGTACACCTTGACTTTGACGAAAAATATGTACATTTGTACTAACAGCAGATGAATTAGGCTACGCTATAGGAGGGGTACTTTCACAAGAAGAAATTGGGAAACATTAGCCCATCGCTTTTATATTCCGCACCTTGACCAAAAGTAAAAGCAACTACTGTACCTTTTCAAAGGAAGCTCTAGCTTTAACATATTGCATGGGGCAATTGAGGGAGGCATGAGTATATATGTATGAAAAAGAATGCATATTAGTCACCGATCATCGGCCCCTTGTATGGATCAATTCGATGGCCCATCAAGACCCATGCTCTCAAGTTACACGCTAGCCACTCAAACTCGCTGATTTCCAATTCAATATAATATATAAACCGGGCTTCCAGAACGTTAACACAGACGCGTTATCTAGAAATCCAATTGATGTTAACATACTTTCGCTAACGTACACAAACAAAGAGCTGCAACAGCTGCAAAATACAATATCAGAAGAAACCCAATAATACGGCATAACGACACGCCAAGGGCAGAAAAAAATCTCAGCTCCCGCTACAAATAAGTTCTATCAGCCTTATGTCATAAAAAACGATAACTCAACAAAAATAAAATTAAAGACCATAGTAGTTAGGGAAATCTTTTTCCAGACAGTTTCATAGATATATATCATACGGCAGGCAAAGATTCGTGTCATGCGGCTGGCACCGGAGGCGGGGCCTGGAACAGTTTTTCCCGAGGGTCACGTGACCGGGGAGACGGGGGATTCGGACCAATAACCCCATTTGTAAAGACGGGTTTCGCGCGTAATTTAAATATAATTACCAACATTGGCTGGTAATAATAATTTTTTCGCAGTCGTCACGCGCGAGCCAATAACCCAATAATCCAAAAAAGGCGCAAGGCGTTTGAATGCTGCTTGGCTGGTTACAATTTTTTTCTCTAGCAGAGGAAAATTTTAATCATTACCGACGTTGCTTGGCCGGTAATTTTTTTTTGGTTTTTTTTTCAGCGGAGTGAAAATTGAGGGCTACCCTTGTTCAGTAAAGGGAGAAGTCATTAAAATGAAATCAAATTTTAATTTATTTAATACATATATTGTTAAAAAAACACTATAAGTTAACATAGGAGCGCGTATGAATTTAAAAAATGCGCTACTATACAATTACACTTAGACTTGCTAGTTTGAGTACATATATTACTTACAACACGATAATTTCTAAAAATTTTACGCTTAGCGATACGATTAAAAAAGGTTATAGCTATTTTATCGTTGAAAAGAGAATCTGATGAATAAATGAGCAAAACATACCCAAAGAATAGTTGTTGGACATGAAAAATAGAAAGTTAATACAGTAATTTCCGCAAACGCTAGAATGAATATTTTGAAGCTGTTGTACATTTAAATAAAATGTAACACAATTTTTTTTGAGTCTATTGATGTGATGTGATACCATGGGAGGCATCCCATAGTTGTCAAAGTATACTCCATGACCTTCAATATCAACGTATACAGCTACCCAATGCGTGCCTGGCTTAGAATTTTCATCGGTGTTAATTATAAGAGCGCACGGTCTCGCCCAAACAAAAGGTAACTGATCAGCAGGGAATGCTCCGGTCGTCACTGCATGTATACTGCAAAGAGCTCTACGTAGTTGTAAAGAATCCATAATAAAAGATGTGTGAATTTTATGAGTTAAAATCAACAACTACTTGACAATTTCAGTCTATTTCCAATATGTTGTCAAATTCAGCATATAAAACGCAATTTATAGTTTTTGTGAGAGCTGTCTCGAAGCGTACTGTACTATTCTTTACTAAATTCCAATGACCTGCAAAATGTGACGAGAGATCGGGTGTAAGATCAAATGCAAACAAACAATACCCATTGGAATAGTCTTTCCTGTAAATACTATTTCCCTCATTCATGTAGTAGATCCCGATGCCCGAAAATAAAGTATGATATGCTTCCACATACATAGGTGTGCTTCCTGTCGAAATCAGTTGTAGCAGCTTACTGGGTACTTGTACACCATCAACGTATAATGACAAAGAATTCATAGAATAATTTTGAAAGTTAAAAGGATTAATCTTTCGATCCCCATTGAAGGCTTTGTTGTCAACAAAACCTAAAATGATTCTTTTCGAAAGTTGTCCGAGTATACCATTATCTAAACAGTCACCATTTATGCCGCTATTTAGGGTAAAAGATTTAACTTCGACACACGTTATTGGATATTTGCCGTAGTATTTGCCAGAATTTGTGCATGCGCAATCAAAACTCTAGGGATAACTTTCACTCGCCGAACGAGAAGCGTAGTCTCGGTAATGCTGATAGAATAATTTTTCGCTGAAGCATCCATGAGAAAAAAAGCATCTTTTGAGCGCACTAGACGTAAAAGAACTTTGATGCCATTTAGTAATAATTTATCCTGACTAAATACGTCGCAGTGTAAATGACTTATTAAGTCTATGGTCTTTACGTCATTTATATATTCTTGATGCTTACTAAGAGCTTAATTTTTTTTCGAGCCGGGTAATTCATCTATTTCACCAGCGACATCTGTTTCCCACAGATTTGTTGAAAAATGCGATGATTTTGCAGCAGGACCATAATTTAAAAGAGTTTCAATGTATGATCGGTATGGGTAAGCATTATTTGGAGGAGTTACGAGTTTTTAATTAAAATAAAAGTCAGCCTAGTTTAATATTGAATGTAAAAAATTGTTCACTGAAGCTAGAAGCGCATCCCCATCCTTGTCGTAAGGTGTCGATTTGACATTCGCTCTAAGCATCGTATGGGCCAGGTCGATGTAATCCTCGTTTTGAGAACTGATAACGAATTCTATGGGTCTCTTGTCGCTTTACGACGAAACAGGTTTGTAATGCACCTATTGATTAGTTTCTAATGCTATCTGCGTGAGAAGAACGGAAAATGAATCCAACTCGCTCTTCAGGCAAGGGTCCGTATGACTATGTAGAAAAGACATGATTATCCAAAAATATCTAAAGGTCTAGATTTTTTATTTCTTATCACCTTTTTCTTTGTTTTACGACAAAATTTTTTTACTTTTTTATTTGGTTTTTTCTTCTCATCATTTTTCTTACGTGCACCTATTTTTTGTTTGGCTACTTTCGATTGAGTTTTTTTCTTCTTTTTTTTCGCGCTTTTTAACGAGATGATTATACCACCGCTTTCACGCCTAGTTTGTGTTCTTTTTTTATAGGGTAAAGCATTATATCCTGATCCTTTCATCAGCTTCACAATTTTTTCTGTAGCTTTACGTTTCAAATTTTTACCATATTCGTTAATCCGATTCTTGAATGCGTGCTTAAACGGTATATTGTTCTCTCCAACATCGTCAATTATATTCACTTCCGCTCGTAAAGCTTCTTTTTCAACGGCACGAGCACCTTTGGCTATGTAAGGCATAGCACTCCGAAATAGTACAGTGAAAAAAGAACCTAATCCATGTCCACTCTGTCTATACGACCCTGCAAACACATGCTTGACTCCTCTCCCTCCCCCATGCTGTGTATGATACTCCTCGTAATAAACCATTTTGTAATGACTCCCTTAAAAGAAAACTTTTCTAAAATGTAACACTATGGTCAGTGTCCCAAACTCAAATGATATTAGTTTGCCAAATTGATTTCTTATATCTATATCGATCGTATAAAATCTATTATTGAGAAGAGGTACAAAGGCTGGCG